TTTCTTTTGAAAGGTTTATATATTAAATATAGATAAAATTAAAAAATTGTTATATTTTAATGGAGAGTTAATGCATTTTAAGCTCTTCCTTAGTCTGTGTGAAATATGTTAAAAGTGTCTTATAAATAGGATTAGAGGAGTATTAACTATTTAATAAGGGTAAACATGAAAGATTTTATATATTTAATGATCTCTTTAATATCTAAGAAACTACTATAAGTGATAATTAAAAAGGATAAAAGTGGTATGATCATAAAGACTATTAGAGCTCCAGAACAAGTTTGTAATGCCATTACACAACTAACAAGATACATTCAAATTCGTGGCAGTTGAATTATGTTGATTGGCAGGGAGAGATTATATATAGAGAAATTATATTCTTTTGAGATCCCAAACGTTAAAATAAAGCAAAGTTGGATACTTTTTAATTCCTTCATCACATTAAACCGTTGACCAATCCTTCTTGAATCTTGAGAGCCTCATTTATTCTTTATATTATATACATATGAAATTCCTTTGTTAATTCGGTTTAAAATTATTAGCTCTGCTTTAAAATTAAATAATTTTCTAATTTTACTCTTATTTAATAAACATTTTATATCACAAAGAGGTAATGTGCGCTCTTCTTATCTTATAAATATGATCATATAGGTATTTACCAAGTACCCCATGAATTGCTTAGAAAAGATCCATATGTGGGAAATTGATCTATAGATGACTTGCATATTATTAGGAACAATGTGGTCATTTCACATATTTTTCTATTTCTCTTCAATTGCTTAAATACCTTAGGTACTACCTTTTAAATAAGTTCTCAAATGGGGATTTATGATGATTTTTCCTAAAATAAGTACATAACATTCAAAAATAAGGCTTCCAATATTTTTTGTTTGGTCTGAAAGGGCTTCCGATAATTATATGTATTAATATAAATAGATTTTCATTTCTTCCTATGAAAATATTGTGAAGCAGTTTCAATTTTCTTATTATAAATAAATAGTGTCATCATACAGTCAACGTCTAGTCAAACCTTTAGGAACATGATGAAAATAACAAAATCATCTCATGTTTTATTTTACCTGATGATTAAAGTATATTTTTAGTTCTGTAACTTTACATAAAGTTTCATTTTAGTCTTTTATTTTTAAAAAGTAAACTTTTAGTCCTCTAATTCTAAAAATGTTAACAAAAAATGATGATATTAAACTCTTGAATACTGATAAAATATTACTAAATATTAACATATTAAGTTTAATATTCAAAACAACCATGATTGTTACAAAATTTTTTTTTAAGAATAATAATTTTTGGGTTAAAGGATTAAAAGTATACTCTTCAAAGTTAAGGGACTAAAATAAAACCTTGTGTAAAGTTAAATGACTAAAAATATATTTTAGCCTTACATGATTTTACTCAGGATTATAAAAAAAGGAATGGGGCCCTTATTTACCCTAATCATTGACAAGTTGGAGAACAAAATACTCTAATTTTCCTTTTGGTATTTAATTATATTTTTTCATATAATTATTTGATATTTAATCTTATTAGGTCATATTCGAATATTATTAGATTTATTTGGTATAGTATTCTTATGTTTTTTACTTCACATAGATTAGAATTTAAGACCTCATGCTCCCTCTCCATTATGACTAGAAAACGGGCGACTTGGTCTCCCTTTTTTTGGGGACAAAACTTGGTCCGATTTACGTTCAAATTCTATAGTCAAACCTTTAGGAACATTTCTATTCGAAAATATTTATTAATAAGATTATATTTAAATGATTTATGTTGTCCAATTTAGTCCATATATATATAATCTTTAATTTATTAAGTATCCTTATGTATGCATGTTTAAAAGATTTTTTTAAATATTATGATAAAGAAGTTAATATTATAGAATTATAGTTAATTTTCTTTTGTAATAACAGTGTTTAAATAGATTTTAAGTATAGTATTTAAGTTGGAAAAGAGTATTATGATTCAAAATGAATAATTTCATGGTCCGCTAGATGCGTTTTTTAAAATTTTTTATAAAACACTTTTTTTTATAATAAACACTGTATAAAAATAAAAGGAAAACTCGTGTCACATGACTTTTCTATAAAAGGCTTATGTAAATTGGGAAAATCTGAAAAAAAAACTTAAATTTCAAAATCTCAAATAAAATTTTTTTATAAAAATATATTGTCAGTTGCTTTTTAAATATAGTTAATTACTATTAAAGTAAAGGAAACAAGGGGTTTTGAAATTCAAGTAATATTTTTTTTTGAATTTTTTCATCTAAAGTCTGTGTGATTGAATTGATGAGTGTATTTTATTCTTAAAAAAATAAATATTAACCCAACGAAAATCTATATTAGGTGATTATAAAAAATATCTAATTCATATTATCAGGCCCAATTGACAAATTTAAAAAGATTAATAAACTTAAAATAAATTACTTAATTATAGTGTATGCTACATTATCTCTGAAATATTTATATGCATCATCATTAGATTATATATCAATTTATAAGTTAGATAAATTAATTTAAAAAATATAAATATAAATACTTTAAAATAAGTTATTTAAATTTTTTAACTTCTTCAAATTAATTAATTGTATCAGTACCAGAAGTAGCATAAATAATGATTAAGAAGTAATAAGATTAATATGATCTTTGGCTTTTCAAATTTGTCTTTATTTTGACTTTGGTCCTTCAAATTTTAAATTATAGATTTTGGTCTCTCAATGAGCACACTGATTTAAATTTTTATTGAATTATAGAGACCTATGTTTTAAATGAAAAAAATTTAAGAGATCAAAACCTATAATTTAAATATTAAGAATAAATTTTGATGTACTTGTTAAACCAAAACCAAAGTAATACTATCAAACTTGCTTTATTGAAGCAATTGCTTTATAATTTATTCGTTAAAGACCAGGTTTCAAAATATGATGCTCGTGAATCGTGATAACTTTGATGATAAATATCATTTGAGGTATTAATTTAAAATGTATTTAGATATAAATAAAATTATAGTTTTAAAAGTGATTTTACGATATATAAAATAAATATATAAAAAAATTTATCTCTATTCATAAAAAAATATTTTTAAAAAGTAGTTATGAGAATATCCAAATACTCTCAAAGTACAAAACCGTTAAATGCATAGTAAGACCAAAGACCACCAAATTTTTCTCTAAACTCTTCATTAAATTGTTGTTTTTCCAAAAAGGTTCGCCGATATTTTTTATACATTGCTTATTAGTTAAATTGTTAACATGTCAAAGGCAAAAGATTTGCTTTTGCCAACTGTCCACTAGCAAAAAGATTTCCTGATCCTGATACAATAGTACTCTCTCTCTGAATTAAAATGGTAGAGGATTCATTAGGGTTCAGTCGGCATTGATCAGCACGCAAGAAATGAGGTTCATTTAATACTACACTTCTCCCTCGCTCCGCGTTATTGAAACCCGAAAGAAAGCTGAAGTGTCAGTTTTGGCGTGCATAGCTGAGCAACGTGATGAGTGAGTGCATTGATGATGATGAATTCCCAAAATTGAACCATATGCTTCTAGCTTTCTCGCCATTTTAAAAGACGAAGTGTATTGGGAAAGTGTGGAGCTGGAAGGGAAAAGAAAAGAGAGCCACACTGATACAGCATTTCATTTCCGAACAGTTCGGCATTTCGTGTGCTTTCAGCCTCCCTGAAAACTTCAGTTTCTGTTCATATTCTCTGATGGGCTGTGCTGGTTTTCCTTAAGATTTTATTTTGGTTTCTGTCACGTGGTTTTGCGAAAATCTCTTTGGTGGGTCAGTTTTGGTGCTCCTGATTCGATAAAAACACTCACTGGCATGCACAGCAACTATTGCAGTTGTGTCCCTGTTCTACTGAACTTCTAGTGTAAGATCTCGATCCCATTTTTTCTCTTTTCAATGGTTTTGTTTCGTCTTCTGTCTTGTGATAGTAAGGTTACTTCAGCTCTAATAAGTCACAAAGGGAACGCATATCTCCCTCTCTCTCTCTCTCTGCACGGCTTATTTTTCTTTTCCCCCCCCGGTGGTGGTGGGTGCAGCAATGCATTTAGTTGCTTGTTTCTTCATCAACTTGAAAAATGGGTCCTGAGATTATATGTCGGGAATGACGCGGAGAGTGACCTTTGCGACTTGTAAGGCATATTGCTTCATGTGGGGTTGAGATACTCATCCCTATCAAGCATAAAGTCATGATCTTGCTTCAATATTTTACTAGATTTCTGCGATATATTCTGGTAGATTCCTCATATTTCAGCTCAAGTTTGTTTATAATAACTTGCAAGTAGTCCATGCTTCGTTTTTTATTACTATAAAAATAACCCCATGTTCCTGATCTTCCTCACCCAACCCATGCCCTTGCAAAAGATGCTTGTTGTCTGCCGTTTTGGTGGTTTATTCAACTGATACCGAGATGCTGTTTTCCGTTGCAGGTTTTCAAACTTCAACGGTAAAAGAAAAGGAAAGAAAGAAGGAGAGACAGGGATCATACCATTTATATTAGATAATTCTGTGTTGGAAGCTTTAAAGCCACTGCTTTTAAAAAAGGAGGGGAAAACATAGAACAGATGAATCAGAGAGTGAAATATAAAGAAATATGGGGAAGTGAGGTGGAGTCAGATTTGTGCTTGTGGGTGTCTCTGTTTTGAGAATTATTTAGTGCTCTTACTCTGCTGGCCATGTCCCCTGAGCTGATTCGGTAAGCCCGGGCTCTTTGGGCTTTGCCGCCGACCAAGGAAACAAGCCCTAGTTTTGAGTCTTCTTCCGTCCAAGAGAACCTTTACCTAAAATATTGGGCAATCCGATCTCATCTCTCTCTCATTTTCTCTCTCTGATTCAGCTTGTGCCTTGTTTGCTGTCAAGATTCGGTCATACTCCAAACTGTTGATCCTTAAAGCCAAGAAACTTTGATTCATTCAATGAGTTGATTGGTCCCCACTGGTGGGGTTGCCTTTTCCCTTTTCTGGGAATTTTTCATAGAGCTCAGGCTACTATGTATGGTTCGCTAGGGATGTTTGGCGATGGCTTATTGGACTTAGCAATTAGTTATTGAGTTCTGGGAAGTTTTATTTTTTTTCCTTGTTTGGAGTGTCAAAGAGAAGAACCGGATCTTGTATTGTCAAGATGAAGTTCATGAAACTTGGTTCCAAGCCAGACACCTTTCAGACTGATGGTAATGTTAGGTGAGATTACACAGGTTATTTATAAGACATTTTTGTTTCTTTCACCCGAAAAAAAGTTGTTTCGTACTAGTTTGTTTATTTTACAGCTGTAATTTATATGCATTGATTTTTTCCTCCATTTTTCTTCATTTCAAGTGCTTACTCAGTTGTGGGATCTGCTTTTATGTGATTAAGCGAAGGCTTTCCAGTATTGATCAATGTTTTATACTAAAGTTACTATTCTGATAGGTCTGCAATGTGAATGAACATCGATGATCCTTCATATTCTATTTTCTTATCCTTCATATTTAGCTTTAATTTTCTCTGAAGCTTTGTGTTTGGCCATTTGTTGATGCCATCTACAGCTATCAAAAACAATGATTTCTTGTACATCCAAAGGCAAGCACTTGGTAATGTCAATGTCGAGTTGCCTGTTCTTTGTAATCACAGTATAGAAGTGCTCGAAAGCAGGAAATATAATAATTGAGCGAAGTCTTGCTCAATTTTTTGATGCTAGATGAAATTATCTTGCCAAATTTGTTTATGCTGTCAAAGCTGAAAACCATTAGAATGGAGGGCAAACTGATGGATGTTCTTATGTGTTTTGCCACAAATTGATTTTCTTTAAGTTTTAATTAATGCAAATGAGTATGACTTTTTAAAAGGCATAGGTGTGAGAAAAATGAATAAAAAATGATGATGGGAATTGGGGTGAATGGGCAAGGGCGCAAGGTGCTGTAGAATAAAGATTTCGGTATACCATAGTTACTAATGTTGTTAAACCTAATAAACATTGGATGCTCATCTATACACTATTGTTGAAGACAAGTGCTTTTGCTCTCCATAATTTAAGCAATTGATAACTGTGACTTGGTAAAAACTTTTCAGAAAGTATATCTATGCAGGAATTTGTGTTCATTCTGTTTGACCTAGTTAGCAAACTTGTCTTATACTCTATTCGTTGTGTAAATGTTAGTTTATAATGCACACTGTGTAGAGAGTTCTTAAAAGGACCCATTACATGTGCAGGTATGTGGCAAATGAGCTGGCATCAGATATCGTTGTTAATGTAGGGGATATAAAGTTTTATTTACATAAGGTATGCCTCAACCCGATATTCTTTCTAGGCTTTTGATATACTCTATATAAACTTTTAGCAGTGTCTTGTTTTTAGGACCCGACTCCTAAAAAATGTTGATCAAAGTTGACTCGTTTTATTTACATATAAACAGCTATGTCATTCATTCATGTTCTGTTATGAATGAACTCATTACTCTTCCGTGTAGTTTCCTCTTCTGTCAAAGAGTTCTCACCTGCAGAAGTTGATCACTGCAACTAATGAAGAAGAAAACAGAGATGAAGTTCAAATTTCTGACATTCCTGGAGGCGCTGCTGCCTTTGAGATGTGTGCCAAGTTTTGCTATGGCATGGTTGTTACCCTCAATGCTTACAATGTGGTTTCAACTCGATGTGCAGCTGAGTACCTTGGAATGCATGAGACTGTTGAGAAAGGGAACCTTATCTACAAGATTGATGTTTTCCTTAGCTCTAGCATTTTACTCAGTTGGAAGGACTCAATCATTGTTCTTCAGACATGCAAGTCTATTTCACCCTTGGCTGAAGACCTAAAAGTGGTCAACCGGTGCATCGAATCGATAGCAAACAAGGCATGTGTTGATGTATCCAGAGTTGACTGGTCCTATACCTATAACCGAAAGAAGCTTCTAGAGGAAAATGGTATTGATCAAAACAAGAATGTTGTCAGAACTCGGTCAGTTCCCAAAGACTGGTGGGTTGAGGATTTGTGTGAGCTTGAAGTTGATTTATTTAAGTCGGTAATTACTAATATCAAGTCCAAGGCAATTCTTTCTGCTGAAGTGATTGGAGAAGCTCTCAAAGCTTATGCTCACAGAAGATTGCCAAATTTCAGCAAGAGTACCAGCCAATGTGGGGATGTGTCTAAACATCATTTGATCATTGAAACAATTGTATGGTTATTGCCAGCTGAGAAAGGCTCTGTTTCTTGTAGATTCTTAGTCAAGTTATTGAAAGCTGCCATTTCTTTGGAGTCAGGAGACATGACCATAGAAGAGCTGGTGAAGAGAATTGGACAGCAATTGGAGGAAGTTTCTGTAAGCGATATTTTGATACGAGCCCCGGATGGTGATGCTAGCACCATTTATGATGTTAGTATAGTACAGAAAATTGTAAAGGAGTATTTGATGCAGGATCTCAATACTGAAATTGAATCGGTTGGAGGTGATGGTGATATTGAGGACTCAAGAAAGCCTGCTGGGATTTTATCAGATGCTTCCAAGCTAATGGTTGCAAAACTCATAGATGGATATCTTGCTGAAATAGCAAAGGACCCCAATTTACTTTTGTCTCAGTTTGTTGATCTTGCTGAGCTGGTATCCGGCATCCCTCGTCCAGCTCATGATGGGCTTTACAGGGCCATTGATATGTATCTTAAGGTAACTACTGTTCATGAAAAGATTAATTCGTTGACTTGGATTGCATAACATTAAAGTTCTATATATGATCTTGCGTTTAGTGGGAGATTTAAAATTGTCTATCATATTGTTACTAGTTGCTCCTCAATGCTTCTGATATGATGGTTATGCCTCTTTGTGGGCTGGGCTCGGGCTCGGGCTCAACTGCTCAAGCCTGTTGGCTTTTGCCATTTGGGTATAATCATCATATATGAAGCACTGAAGTGGTCCAAGCCTAGGCATGCCTGTGGCTTAATATTGCAAGTCTTTGCTACACGGACTTGGGATTTTAGTCAATTGGCTCAAATTTTGGCTCGGACCAAAAAAATCCATTGGCATGCCTTGCTCATGGACAAATCCATTGATGACAGACAACACATCTTAGAAATCTGCATGACTGACTGTGTGCGAAAGTAACTGATGCATTCTGTCAATTTTAAGGTTCACCCCGGGATCAGCAAAGGCGAGAGGAAGAGGATATGCAAGTTGATGGACTGCAAAAAGTTATCAGCTGAAGCTTGCATGCATGCTGTGCAAAATGAGAGGTTACCGATGCGAGTAGTTGTGCAGGTGCTCTATTTTGAGCAGGTGAGGACTGCCGCATCATCTGGCGCCAGCACTCCTGATGTACACAGAGGAGGAATGAAGGATCTCAACAATGGGGGTTCACATGGCAGCTCAAAATCCGGAACAACAGCTAACACAGAAGATGACTTAGTGGACGGTTTGGGAACAGCAGAGGAGCTGAAGGCATTAAGGAAGGAACTTGCATCCTTGAGGATGAGCAGTGAGAAAGATACCGGAGATCATAACAATAACAAATCTAACTCAGACAAGGCTGTGATTACAAAGATGAAGGGTCTGCTCAAGTCAAAAAGGTCATTCATGAAGGCATGGACTAGCAAAGGAGGAGGAGGAGGAGAAAATAGTGGATCAGACTCATCAGAAAGTATTGGCTCTGCTAACCCAGAAGAAGCTAAATCCACACCTTCAAGAAATAGGAGGTATTCAGTTTCCTAAAGTGGTTTGACTCTTCCTTTCAAGTTTCTTTTCTTTAACACGAGAAAACTGAGGTACATATAGTTTGAAGAGCACAGATCACTTGAAGAATTACTGCAAGTTAAAATGAGGAGAGGTGGGGCTCACTTTTGTGTCCCTTTATATAGATCTTATGGAGGTGGGTCCAATCTTTCTCGTTTTCTCTCTTTACACCACTTGAAGTGATTCCAGTGATCCAAGTTCAATAGTTCAGAAGAGCAGTGTATTTTGAAGAATGGAGATGTAATCCTTGGTATTTATATTCTGTATTCCTATCCCTAATGGTAGTAATAGTTGCTCCTAGGAAAGGAATCTAATGGCATCAGCTTCAGCATTGTCATCAAAACTTCAACTATACACTTATTCTAGTGATTCTCTGCAGCTTACAAATTATAAGTAGATCAAGTTATTTAATAGTGATTTTATACATATTAGTGGGTTTGTTAATTAATTCCTTTTTTCTATTAAAAAATTCCCGTAAAATGTTTATTTTGTTTAAAATCAAGATAATATTTTGAAATAGTCACTCATTTTTCTCTCTTAAAATGGTATAATAAACAGCAAGTTATTGATCGATTTACAACTATGCATTGTTCCTGTTATTTTATGATTGCTAAATACCAACTTTTCAAAAATGCTTTTTGGTGTTTGTGTATGTGTGTGGGGACTGAAAAACTATCGTATGATTGGTTTGATTTATTTGCTGTACATTGCTAGTTTTTGTCGTTTTAGGGAGTGTTTGGATGCCCTTAAAATCACTTTTCAGAAGCACTTTTCTGCAAATTGAGACAATTTCCTTCACATATTTGCTTCGTATACCGTAAAAGCACTTCTGAAACTATGGTTTTGATCTTATCCAAACACTCCCTTAGTCAATTACTTTCAAATCATTCGCCGCATATGATTTCTTTTGACCGTACGATATCTCAGCAAATAAAATGAAAATAATACAAAGAGAGGGTGTACGTGTATTATTAAACTACTACATATTAGTATTTTCACCAATTTAAATGCGACACTTAGTGGATCATTCAAAATTAATTAATTTATTTTGAATTAGAGGGGCATGCACTAGCTTGCTTGATGATTACGTAGAAGATTGAGTGCCTGTTTGGATTCACTTCTATCAAGCTTAAAGTGAGTTTAAATTATAAAATAAGCTAGATTGCCCAATAGGCCTGTTTGGTTTCACTTTTATCAGATTGGGCTTATGAAAAAATTGGCTGATGGAACGCTGGATTCTCATAAGCTCAAGAAAGGAGCTTATAGCTTAGCCCAGAAGAGCTTCTCGCGGGGAAAAAAAAAAGAACCGTTGTGGGGGTGTCAGATGCTGTATTGTCTTTTTCCTCTCCCATTTTCATTTCCCCGTCTCACACACAACTCGTCTTTTTCCTCTCCCTCGTGCCTGTTCCTTTTTTCCTCTCCCATTCTCTCTTGCCGCCGTGAGCTGAAGGTCGCCCCGTTGAAGGTTGCGGTCTGGTCGCCGTGAGCGCCGTGAGCACCGTCGTGCGCTTCGAGTCGTGGGTGTGAGGTGTCCGTGGTCGGCTGGAGCTGCCTCTTCCTTGCAAGTCCGAGCTGGTCACGCCGTCTGCAACCGAGGTCGCCGCCGTCTGCTGTGGTTTGGAGCTGTGCGTCGATCTTCTCTTGCGATACACGGTGGGATCTATCTCTAGTTGCCTTCGATTCGGTTGATCTGTTACAGGTTGGTGATTACAATTTTTCTTTCTTTTCTGGTTTGATTCTTGGTCTGATTTGCTGTCGCCGGTGGAAGTGAAGAGTGCTCCGTCGCCGGTGTTCGGTTTAAGACTTTTTCGGTCTGGTTTGTTGCGGTGCTCTGTTTCTGTCGCCGGTGGAAGTCAGGTGTTCTCCGTCGCCGGTGCCTTTTTCGGTCGGTTTATGATAATTGCTTTGTTTTGCTTCTGGTTTTTCGACGGCTTGCTGGTGGTTTTGCTTCTGGTTTTTAAATGGACCCGATGTATACGTGATGAATGATTCATTTTTTTTTTGGTGAAAACGTGATGATCATTCTGGATATTGTAGTGCGTATGAGCTTGTGTATATGTGTATATCAGAGTGTTATACTGATTATTGGGTTGCAATGGTCCTGGAATTTTGATAGAAAAATGTACAAAAAAACAAAAAATTTTATGTGAAATAGATTGAAGTGTATATCAGAGTGTTACACTGATCATTCAATGGTTTTATGTGAAATAGACTGAAGAAAGTAATTTGATAACAATTTTTTAGTCATTATAATGCTGGTTTTAATAATGTAATTAACAAGTTTATGTTAAAATATGGCAGTTCTAATTGAAAGATGAACAATTTTTTTCAAACAATCAGAAAAACAATTGATTAATTGAGTTTTTGAATAAGAAAGCAAAACAGTTTTTACAATTATAATGTGTTAATTAATATTTTTATATTTCATAATAATAATTGGAGTTTTGATAACAAATGCATTTACAATAATATTAAGAAAATAGTATATATGTTTGTTTGGTGATTACATAATGTGGCTTTCATTATTATATATTTTGGTTGATTTTTTAAATATTTTATAATTTAATCCACTCATTAAATTTTATTTCTTCATATTATTTTATTTTAATTTTATTGTATTGTCTTAAATCAATTTTTCATCATGTTTCATTATTTATTAAACTCATGCCCATTTTGGTAATTTTTCAGCCAAAATTACTTTTACTCAACTATAATCCAAACAAGCTTTTTCCAATCTCATTTTGTAAACTAGCTTATCTGAACTCCAATCCAAACCAATTCAGCTTATCCAATTTAACTTTTACCAACTTCACTTTTCCATAAGCTACTTTTTCTATAAGCTGCTTTTCCAATCGCTATTCCAAACGGACCCTGAATTTCCCGCCTCTCACTTAGTGGAAAGTTTTCATATCATTAAAGTATAAGGTTATTATTATAACTTTTCTCTCTTTTATATGATTATTTGAGTGGGTCAGATTTAAACATTATCCAACTTTATTTTCTTCAAAACTAAATTACCGAAATCACATAAAATTGACCGTAAAATTATTTGTGAAAACCAAATCACTTGCTTGGAAATGAGGTTGAAGCACCCCTAAGATTATATGTAATTTTAGCAGTTTCATTAACAAGTTGCAGAATTAATTTAACCCTTTTTTTCCCCCCATAACTTGACTACTGAAGTCACATAGGATTAATTTTGAATTCTAGGCAAATTACTTATGAAAATTAGGTGATACCCTTAAGAATGACTAGGAATGAGGTTGTCTTTCAATGATCCTTCAAATAAATTTAAATAATTGAAAATTTGTAATTGAAATTAATAGCTTAAAGGTCTTAATTTTCTGTCATATTTCACCCAACCAAAGAAACTTACATGCCTATCATATTTACAAAAAACACAAAACCTCATTTTCAAAGCCAAGGCCTGTCACTTTAAATTAATTGGCCAGAAGTGTTACGTGCCTGGTGGTGGTTAAGTGTTAGTTTTCTTGTTCTTGAATTGTAGATAAGTCCAACCTTTTTTTTAAAATTTTTTCTCCAAAAAAAAAAAAAAAAAACACGAGCGCGCACATACAACCTCATTTTTAAGCAAGGTTTCCGAAATGTTTAGTGGTCTGTTGAACCAAACAGCCCCAACTTAATGAGGTCTTAATTATCATTTGCCGGAGTGTTTTATTATTAAATACAATACCTTTCCAATCAAACACTGAAGTGAGCAAATTACAAATTTGAAATTAACAGATAGCAGTACTAATAGCACGCCTATGGTTTTGTTGTACACTATTACCTTCGCTTCTTAATATAAGAGTTAGTTTGATTTTTAATTTGATTTTAAATATAAGACTCTAATTCACTTTGTTTCTCATATTTATTTATTTTTTCTGAGGTAGTCTTTGAAATAGTAGTACATATTAAATGTTTCATCAAATGACACTTAGTAAGGGTATTTTGGAAAAGACAACACATTTATTATAAATATTTAACTAATTTTCTTAATTTATTCAAATTAGTCAACTAACTCTTATATTAAGGACAAGAGGTAGAATTATTATTAGCATGATTTAACGTTAAGAACATCAAATTCATTTAACTTTCTAAAAGGCCACATAATTGTGATGCGGCATGAAGAAAAGAAACTCTGGAAATTTCCACACCTTGTTTCTGTCAAGGGAGGGGGCAGCCACATTGGTGTTGCTGAAACAACAAAACGTATACGTGTACTAACAACATAATATAAAGTCAATTCTTCCATTCAAACGTTTATTTCGAAGCCACTTCATCAATTAATTTATACTCATTATTGTTTTAAAATTAGATAATGGTTAAAAGTAAACATTTTTAAAGAACTTGAATGTGTCTCATCCATAGCTTTGTAACCTTGGTTAATATTAATAACTTCTCCATTTTTCCTTCACATAGGAACTGATTTTATCTTAGATATAAGAACTCAATCACCTTATTTTTTACATCTATAAATTCTTCTTAAACTACTCATATTAATGGCACATATTAAGAGTTTTGATCAACATGCAGTTAATTCAAATGCATATGATTAAAATTATTATATTTTAGGGTTGGCAAAAAAATTATATTTTTTAAAAAATCAACACATATTTTGTTTACAATCAATTAATTTAGTTAGTGTTTTTCAATTTTTATAAATTAATTATTCAGATTTTATATTAAGCAATTAACAGAGTATATTTTACTATTATAGCTACAAAATATTCATTGGGTAAGCGGCACAATCGGGTAAGTAGAAAAGACTCGATTTTCTTCAATAAAAGTTGCCAGTGAGCTTTGTAAATGAGAAAAAAATATGTGAGATAGCCACTTTCAATTAGGTCCTATGATACTTAAATAGAATGGTGATCCTAAAGTATAATTTTTGTATACAAAAGTTGTAATATCAAAATTCATAGTCAGGCTAAAAAAAAAAAAAAGTAATATCAAATTCATAGATTAACATATAAAAACTATCGCTTAATTCTAATAGCATAATCTTCTGACTCATACTTTGAACTAATTAATCATTAATTTTACAAGGTGAAATTCTCATTTATTTTTGGCCAAACCAAAATCCTTGCTCAATTAATATTGCTCCTAACAATCAATTAATTCATCATCTCAATCGTATACTACTAATATGAAACATAAAATATAAAATTTATAATAAGTCACATTATTCACAAAATTAACAGTTGATTCTCCGTTTGATTACAGGAATGCTCATTAAGATAAAACAATTAAGGAGTCTCTTAATTTTTAACCACACAATTGATGATAGGCACAAAATGCCGAACTATGAGCTTGCAGGAGTTTTAACCTATTACTACTGGGCTCGCATCTTCCGCGAACAATCCTAGTTTTTGTTGGATTAAACGCTAAACACTGTAATTTAATAATTTCTGGTTTGTTAAGAATAGTAATTAATTGTGTTGATTGTTGGATAGAGATGCCACGTATCCAACTTAAGTAATGGCTCCAACTTCTATGTTTCTGTGTCTCATTACAATCCAATCCATCACCATCTTCTTCTCTCTTCTCATCTTCATCGTTTTCCTTTCTCAATCCAATCCATTACCTTAAATTCCATGATTTTACAGTTGTCTTTACACACTGCTCTTGTGTCTTTTTATTACAACTGTTATTTGTTGAATAGGTCTGTCTTTTTTTATAAGATTTTTTTTGAGTTTGTCTGAGCATTGAATACATTATTACATATTTTATCCCTAATTTAATGCAATTAATACATTCTCTTTCTTTATTTATCTCACTATTACTCTCTCATGTTTATCTATTTATATATAGGGGTATATTGGAAAAAATTATATTTGCTATATATTAATTGATTTTAACTAATTTATACTATTTGCTTAAACCGTGCAATTTAGTTAAATGATCTTATAATAAAGGATGGAGGGAGTACGAAGTAATCCTCTGATCATATTTATAAATCACTTCCAACATGTTTCACACAGATTAAGAAAAATCTTAAACTTCATTAACTCTTATTTAAATTCAATAACTTTTCAAATTTATCCTTATTTAATATTATATTATATCTCATCTAAACAAAGCCAACACAATAATAAATAAAAGGTAAAATTATACATTCATACAAAATTTCTCTTAATATCTTATAAATAGACAAAAAAATATCTTCTTTTTATGTCTTATAAATAGGACTAGAGGAGTATACTCTTCTAGTTCTATTAATAAGAATTTTCAATATATTTCTCTTGAGTCTAAAAAAAATTTAATCTGATCAGCTTTATCTTAAAATTTAATAACTTATTAATTTTATCTCTATTTATAACATCTATAGTTTTCAAGAAAATAACAATAGGCATAACAACAAGCAAGGGTAAAGTTGTACTTTCACATAGTAAATTTAACGAGGTGACTTGTATTAAAGGGCGAATTTTTTTTTTCCTTATCAAATGAGTAGATATACGGTAATACAATTTTTCCAATGTTTTTTACAAGCAACGAATAGATAAAATAATTAAGTTATTAAGATTAAAAATGCAGTTAAAATCATTTAGGATCTATAAATATGTTAGAGATATGGTTTTTTTTTTCCTTCAGAAATATCCTCATTTCATGGACTTCAACAACTCTTACACGAAGAAACTATGAGTACATTGTGATTAGAATTCTCTATTTCACCGAAGGCACAAATAATTCTATCATATACTTGAAATAGATAGTTTTAGTTTCTTATAAATAAGATCATAAAATACTTTTAACCTTTTTTTTATAAGTATTAACCACAACCACTGTTAATCACAAGTCTTAGATGTCAAAATAGTATTAAATGCACCAACTCAAGGTTCGTGTAAAACTGTGAATTATATTGCATGTGGGAGCTCTTTCGTAACAAAAATCTGATTTTTGCTTTCTCTATTTTAGATAAAATTATTTTTTTACTGTTAACGAATCAAAAACAACTTCCAATCTCTTAACAAAATACCATTCCATGCGAGTCTTTCCAAGCTACAGAAGTTAGTCAACAACTTCATGATTGGAAATGAATGAATTTTATATATATATATATATATATATATATTGAACTGATCAAAATGAATGCGGAGAATATAAGTAGAAAGAGTAGTCCAAAACTGTTGGAATTATGAAGAAGAGAATCAAAGGGCACCATATGATTCAAACATTTGCGGAGAACCAGAGCCGTTATCACCCGCTTCTTTGGAAGTACCCAGCACTCGTAGTTCCTAACTTAACCCATCTTCTTTTGCATATCAATTTATACTTAACACCGGTTAATCTTCCTTCCTCAACATCGATAATTATGACAATGTAACTCTCTCTCTCTCTCTCTCTATATATATATATATATATGTAGACACACACATGCCATTGTTGCTTCGCATTGAAAATCCATTGTGTTCTTTTAGCGTATAAGGGTACTTGTTTTGAGGAGTTGTGTGGTTAGACAAACCCTAATTTAATTAGGGTTGTTTATTATATATATATATATATATATTGAGGATCTTGGAGTATCGGAGAAATGAGTTGCAGCGGTTGTCGTGTTCTGCGAAAACGATGCAGCGACGAGTGCATGCTCCGGCATTGCTTTCAGGGGATCCAAGGCCCTCAAGCCCAAGCCCACGCCACCGTCTTCCTCGCCAAGTTCTTCGGCCGTGCCCGCCTCATGTCTTTCGTCTCCGCCGTTTCCTCCTCCCAAGACCCCGTCAGCTCTCTCTCTCTCTCGCCCTCCTCCTCCTTCTTATAATATTGTGTGTGTGTGCCTGTGTGCTGCGTGCCCCTCAATTTATATCTATATATATATATAGAAGTTATCTGTAGAGATGATATAGCTATCACAAATTAACTGTATAGTATAAACGATTTGATTTGAACGAGAGTCAGTCTGTTATACTCTCTGAAGATAAGTGTGCGTGATGATAAAGAAAAGTTATTCTTGAGAGGTGAGGTTTTCTTGCGAAACAGGTGAGTTAACTTGGGAATAATTGACCGATAAAAGACTAGGAATAAATACCACTATTTTGTATGTTTGATTTTGATGGTTTTGGTGATGGCAGATTTGTTTCAGTCGTTGTTGTTTGAAGCGCTGGGACGTACCCTAAACCCAGTGAATGGAGCAGTGGGGCTTCTCTGGTCCGGGAATTGGCATCTCTGCCAGCTGGCGGTGGAGACGGTGCTCCGTGGCGGCCCGTTGACCCCACTACTCCCTCCGGATTTCTCCATTTTTGTGGCTGCAGCGGAGGTTCAGTAGTTCCGGCGGAAGATGAGAGTTTCGGGTCGGCCATGAATAGTTCTACCGATCAGAGGGAGCACATGAAAGGTGAAAGGTCATCAGTGATGTTAAAGAGAAAGGTAACGAGTGATTCTAATATGGACGACAGGGAGAATTTTCAAGCACGTGGTCAGAAGATGCTGGAGAGGGCGAAGAAGCAGCGAGCGGGGACGCCGTCCACGGAGGAGTATGAAACGACCTCGTTTGGGACTAGTAGCCTACAGGGCAGTGCCGAAAGGAGACTCCTAAGACTATTCTACTGATAATAAAATTCCATGGAACATGAAGCCATTGGAACATTTCCAACCAGCCTCTTCCATTCACAAGCTCAGCATTATCACTGCCTCTATCCCTCAAGGAACTGTTTTCAGGATGTTCTTAATACTACTTTCGGTCCTAAATGGTCCTAAACATAAGAACTAGTTAATTCATTTGACTAGATTAAGAAAATAAGTTAAGTTAGTTATTCGTTATAAATATGTGTTGTCTTTCCTAAAATATCTTTACCAATCAAGTTTATGGGTTAGAACTACTATTATTAGAAGGACTACTTGAGAAAGATTAGATAAATATGAGAGATAAAATATTTGGTCTTATATTTAGGATAAAATAAACAACAAAGTTTTATATTAAGAACCAGAGGTAACACTATAAAAAGCTTTTACCGTAATTTCTATTAATATTAGTACTTTCGATTCTTTTCCTGATTTAGATTTATGCTCTTTTACGAACCTTGTATTAAAAACTGTTACCTTTAATCTTAGTAATTTTGTCTTTTATTAAAAAAATAAAGCCATTGGAACATAAATAGCGTCTCTCTCGCTCTATCTACACACACAAAACTAGTCAGTCTTGGTGAGTGTGGTGCTCATCTAAATTTAAAATTTTTAACCAGTAATATTTAAATAAAAAATCATTGGTTGAAAAATCATACAAAAAGAATCTTTATTTTATAATTTGTACATATTAAACTAACAAACCATTAAAAATATAAAAAAAAATCATATGAAATTTGGATAGTCAAATTTATTTGGACGGTACAGATTTAGCGCTGATCAAATTATCAATTGGGTGATAAGCACCCAAATAAATCACATGTCTGTGTGTGGAGAGAGAGTTTGATTGAGCACCTTTATACGATAAAACGGAATTAAGATCTTTATCTTTAATAATATTTAATGGATTGTATTTTGACAAGGATATAATAGAAAGGGTAATCACAAAAAACTACGAAAAGTGTGACATATGATTAAGAAAACATTTAACCCATGGTTGATTTGATTTACTATGGAATTTTAAACTTAATTCATAAAAGAATTACCTATGCTTTACCTGGCAAAATCTACCAGTTACAATAACATTGTTTATCTAACTTCTTGTGGGCTGACTTAGGGATTAGGTCTAGCAGAAGAGGCTGATCTCTCATAACGTAACGAATCAAGATTCAAATCTCTATTAAAAGATAATCATATTTAGTGCCTGACAGTGTCATTAGATTGCCTCCAATAAAAAGATACATGTGTTTTAGCAAAAAAAACTTCTTGTGGGCTTGCCACCCATATGCGTATTTAATGTTATATTAGAAAACTATCGAAATCTAATTATAAAAAGAAGAAGAAAAACTATCAAAATCGTTTAACATGAAACCAAGCTTGCTAGTAGTCATGTATGAGTTGTGTTTTGAGAAAATCTCTAGAGACATTATAATTCGTTTGTCACGGATGATCATAACAAAATAGTACAAAACGTCATTCTGGGGAAGGTATTGCTTGAGAGCAGAATTGATTTGGAGTACAAGGCTTACTTGACGTGTTCACTGATTTTAAAAGGAAAAGACAGAAAAATGATACTTTAACTTCAAAATGCCAGAAACGTCTGCTCAATTTGGAAAATCCCGTCTTGGTCTTATCAGACCGAATTGGGATTATTTTGTTAAATGAAAAGACAAAACTACCCTTTGTATTATTTGAAACAAAAGCAGGGGAAGAGGCGGCGGTTTAACTTGGGAATGCTTGGTTGAAACCGACAGCGCAAAGAATGGAAAAGAGAGGAGAAGGGAGTGGAGGAGGAATCTATCGCCGTGGAAGAAGAGAGAAGAGAAGAAGGAAGGATGCGTTCGTGGTGCTGTGGTCACCGTGGAAGAAGAGAAAAGAGAAGAAGGAAGAGCGCGTTGGTGGTGCTGTGGTCATTGTGGAAGAAGAGAAAAGAAAGAAAGACCGAAGGGATACATTGTGGGAGTCGATTGAAGGGGAAAAAGAGAGAGAAGAGAATTTTAAGCATCTGAGGAGAATTTTACAACTCCAATGTATGGATTAACAATATCTTTATATATGTTTACAATTTTAGTATCGGTATTCACAACAGCATTTTCAGGATAAAAAAATATCCCCATTTTACAACATCGGTTAAGCATTTAACAATTTCAGTATAATATTTTAACAACTTGGGTATACCTGTTAACCACCTGGTTTCTTACCTCCCTACACCTTGGTTGGACGGCCTGTTTAAACATCTAGGGAGAATTTTACAACTCCAGTGTATGAATTTACAATAGTTTTATATATATTTACCACTTCAGTATGTGTATTCACAACAGTATTTTCGAGATAGGAAAAAAAAAACCCATGTTACAACTTTGGTTAAGCGTTGTACAACTTCAGTCTATGGATCAATATTTCCAATAATGAATAAACCCCACCATCACAACTTCAATAAACCAGATAACAACCCCAAAATAAGTTTTAACACCTCGATTATAAGTTTTAACAGCTATCATAAAAAGAAATAATCATTAATACTAATTTTTAAAACTCAGTTTATACAAGATCATACTTAAAACATAAAATATAAGGCAAAGAATATCTAACATGAACAATAAGTAAACTCCTCTTGCAGCTTTTGTCATAGTTAACAACACAGTTAAAGGAAATAACAATTTCAATAAAGGTATTTCTCTAAAACCAGATCCTTGGTGACAGTACTTACGTAATGCCACACATTACCTCCTCTGAACCCTCGACGACTTATGCAGAACGCGGACCATCAAAAACCATAAAACACACTGTCACAGTGATGCTACGAGGTGAAAGAGTCATATGATTTCAAAGAAAACTTACCCTTTCGAATCACCACCTTCTCGTCACTCTCGAGCAGTCTCCGTTGTGCATGTCTCTCTTTTCCTTCCTGCCTATCTTCGTCCGGTATGCAGCTTAACGTGGTGCCCACGTTTTGTATCTGGTGAGGGCAGTTTTATCTTTTCATTTAACAAAATAATCCCAATTTGATCTGATAAGAGCAAAACGAGATTTTTCAAATTGGGCGGACGTTCCTGGCATTTTGAAGTCAAAGTATATTTTTCTGTCTTTTTCCCGATTTTAAAAGCCGTGTTTATATTATCTTTTGCATGCAGTTAGAGAGGATCTCATCACGATAAACGCGAACCTGTTCTAGTAAAAATGTAATGTCACTATTATAGATAAAAATTGTTAGAAGCAGTTTGATCATTTTTCGTATAAGCATACATATGAATGGAATGCTGTTTTTCAATAACTATTAATTGAGTTATATCCAAGTATTGTTAGACTCGATTAAAATAGCTCTCTTAAATACATTTTTTTGAATCGAACTCGAAATTTCGTAATTAAACCGTCAAAGTCCTGTTTACGAAGACGAATGCCTGATAAAATAGCATGATGTTGCCGTAAAAGAAAGGATTATTCTACAAAATTCTCAAGAACAGCATCCAACAGCCTTCTAGGTGAAATTCATAGTAGAATATGCTTGTATGATTCGACAACAACTCCTGTTCAAGATTTTGAGATTGGACATCATGCTTGTGCAATCATTTGATCTCCCCGAGAGGCTAGGATTTCACAGTCCACGTATAAAATTGCAGAGAATTATAATCTAGGCCTGAGGTTGCTAAAACTGATAACGACAATAATCAAACAGCAAGGACTGGTGTTCAAGTGAAGGATCTTGACCACAAATTTACCTAATAAACAAATGGTTAGTTGATTATATACATACACTTGAACCAAGGGAATTGCTTCCAACTACCTAACAAAGAAGCAGAAGGAAAAAAAGGTCACCTTTTTCTTTTTCCTGTGATGATGATATTCATACACAACATATACTACACACGACACACATTCAACAGGAACATATTAGGTTCCGAAACAAAAAATGTAAACACAGAAAACCAAAAACCAGCTAAGCTATCAGCTCCATATTCCATTGTCGTTACCTTCTGTGTCATCTTCACCCGTGGGAAATTAAAAAGCTGGTTAGTGTTAGCAGTAAGAGTGAGGAGTCAAGAAAGATCAGTCCTACACACGTGTTGTCAGGTGGCAGCCAGTAGTCCGAACACGACAAAGTTGTATTATATGTGTTCTTAAGGTGCAATCCCTGACCTGTTATTATAATTCATAAACCAGGAAAAGAAGCTATGAGAATACTTATACTGGATTAATGAGAACCTAAGGCTGCATTGTCATTGCCAAGTATCCTTTTTCTTTTGGGATAATGAATAATTTTTTTTTTTTTTTTTTTAACACGCTGATAGGAGCATTGGGTTTGCTATGGATCAGACATGGATATAAAACACAACATAAACATTACCACAGGATGAGATATAGTATTTAAATACAGTTCAAAATAACTTTCATTTGTAGTCATGTGTGTGTATTAACAAAATTATTAAGCAACTCGGAGTGTGGCAAAATCTGATGATATCTGAGTAAAATCTCATCACAGTGACAAGTTATTTCAAGGAAGGCACTTGACTTCACTTGCCATTATTTTCAAATTTTTTTGCTTGACAAAGAACTTTATGGATAAAATGATACGAGAATGAATAAGTAATGTTCCATCAAGATTATAAAGCGACAATTATATTACGAAACTAAAACTCCAAAATGACAGTTATTTTGAAATGGAAGGAGCACAATTTGAAACACCATTTCACTAACCAGTGTAGG